ATAACCCATTGCTTTTATGGACTCCCATCCTGAATTGTTTTATGGCCGATCATAAACCTATTAAACCACCTGTAATAAAGGATTGTAATTAGTGATAAAGCCTTGTTGCTCAGTGAGCCAGGACAGTCATACTTACTTTGAGTTTTATTGAAAGTAATCAAGACGAAACCTTCAGCAATGTCAAAGAGCAGTCTGAGAACAGGCTGCGTCTTCCATTTAACCTGCCCTGGGACTCTTCTTCCAGCTTTGTTTGGCTGGTGAGGAGGAAAGGTTGGTTTGTTTTGCTTTGTGTTGTTTATTTTGTTTGCAAACATGAGGTGCAGGAAGCAGCATTCCAAGGGAAGATACGCTGGCCAGTGGGTCCCTTGATGGTTTGGCCCTGCTGTGGGGGCTGTCCTTGCGCTGCACAGTCAGCATGCAGGATGCAGCAGCCCTGCACTTGCTGGCCTGCAGCCAGGTGACTGGGAAGGAGATGTCCCCAGAACCTGGCTTTGGTGGATCTGGCCAAGTGGGCAACCAGGAGCCTGGAAAAAACAAGACAAAGCACGTGAGCTTTCCGCTATTGGATGAAATTAGCTTTTCCTTAGACAGCCTCGGTTGAATGTGAACGTCACCGGAGGCACAAAGGCCCATGCTACCCAGCATGCTGTGGCCTCTTTGTGTGGGTGTGTCTGCCCCCGCGGGATGATGAGTCGGCCAGCAGGCTCCGGAGGTTCTTCTTGATGTTCTCATGTCAAAGACGATGTTTCCAGCTCCCTCACATGAACTCTCCCATCCCAACCTCAAAATTCAGGGTGGAACAGTTTTATCAGGGCTGAGAGCCTGGGATATGTCTTCCCAAGGCCTCAGAAAGGGTGCTTTTGTGGGGATGGCGAAGAGGACGCATCGCCAGGGCAATGGGGTCTGCTGCATCTGCAGCTCCGCTCTCTCAGCAGATGAAGAGCGTCCCGGGCCCCTTTGGGTCTGCTTCGTGCAGAGGAAGGCTAGTGTGTCTTGGAGAGTTTCCCATTTCCCAAGTGAACTGGAGACAGTAACCACTGGGTAATTCACTCTGGGCCTAACCAACCCAGGACCATATCAGAGCGAGGACCAGTGCAGGGTCCTCTGGTTTCTCTTGCTCTTCACTCCTTCTCACTGGGCTATCCACCCGGGAACTGGCTTCTCACAGCACTGAACAGGGCAATAGAGAAACTGCGGTAGCAGATAATCAGCTTCCCTTCAATGCAAAGCACATACCTCAGTGGTTGACACAGCTGAAGGCCACCTTGTTCGTCAGAGCAGCAGCAGCTTTGGACCCCTATCTTCCTCAGGGAGCTCAGGGGCCCTGCACATACATGGCCAGCAGCAAGGGAGGCAGATATGTTGAGCAGGATTTAAGGCAAGAGATGCTGAGTAATTAATCCAACACTAACCAGAGGAGTCAAAATTAAATAGAATGTTAAGTGTCCAGGCAGTCACAAGAGCACCCAGATCTCCCTCTAAAGTCAAGGTGGCTGAACAGAGCAGCAGAGATGTGTGCATGTTGTCCCCTTACTGAGAGTCTCCTGGTTCAGTCCACCCTATCACACGGTGTGCGCTTTCTCTTTGCACAAGAGCTGCATAACTAGAGGGTTAGCATAGTTCCAGGGAGATTATAAATAGAATTAAAATATACCACCCCACTCCATGTCAGACTGGCCACCAACTTCCATCCCTGGGGATCTGCATGGAATCTGGGGCACTGAGGACTGACGGCGTTAGCTAGAAAATCGGAAACACGGCTTGTCCATTTTATTTCTCATCCCAAGCGTATCCTGAGTTGTGTGGCTAAATGGGAAAGCGCTAGCAATTGGTCAGGTTTTAAGCTACAGAAAGAAAGTTAAGCTTCTGCACCGCCTGGCCGAGATACCCGCTGTAAGCTGACAAGTAATTAAACGGGCCTATCTATAACAACTGTGCTCTCTGACTCCGTGAAACTTGGATGTAAACCAAAGGCAAGCAGGGCCAAAAAAAAAAGAAGAAGAAGCTGGAGCGAGCAGAGGGGAGCCTTGGAGCCTGGGTCCCCCAGCACCTCAGGGCTGCCTGCTGCAGAGTCTCCTGGACTTGGGCTCCTCCAGGTTTGCAGCTAGATGGCAAGGGCATGGCTCCTTCCACCATTGGCAGTGGGGAAGGGTGAGTCCCACTGGAGACTGAGCCACGTGTGCTTCGTGACTCCCTAGAGTCTTGGCTCTTTCCTGACAGCAAAGTCCTGGACACCTTCCCCAGAAACAAGGTCAGGTGGGTGCACCCAGCAGACGTCAGGGCTGAGGCCCAGACCCTTCCCGGTGGTCTTCTTGGGGCTGATGCCTTCCTTACCGTGTTCTGAACACAACCTCCCCCTCTCTCTTTGCCTCACATGATCTTCACCCAGACACAGCCCACACTTTGCAGGGATCTTGTGTGGGGCCATATTCCTTGTGTACAGGTAGGAGAGCCAGGGCACTGGCACCTTCGAGTGGCACCAAATCATTTTTTACAACCACAGCCCAGGGTACTTTGTGTACAGGAAATTAATTGGTTTAATGCATTTGAAACTAATGCTTCGGGCCAGTTATCTCTGGACTGAGATGGCTTTTTGTTTCCAAAATGAGCAGAGGTTGGGTCCTTCTGTGTGCCCAGCCCTGAGATGAGGGACCAAGGTTGGGTCCAGGGGTAGATGGGGGTAGGCTGCTTGGGTGAAGATCCCATTCATGAGCACAGTGACTCCCTGACCCCACTGTTTGCCTGAAAGTAGACACCCATGTTCCCCAACTTCACCGTGGAAAAAGTGTTTGCAGTAGGATTTGAAACTTCTCTGTGAAAAGTATAAACATCAGAGAGGAACTACTTGTTCTCCCTTAAAATCAAAATCCCCCCAAAGATGGAAGAATGAACAGACATTTGTTGGGGGTCTAATTGCAAAAACATCTAATGTTTTCTTTTCAAACCTGTTAATGCTTTCTCCGTCCTTCCTGTTCAATGGACTTTAAGCTGTGTCAATTTCCAAGCAGTTAAAGTTGGAATTACTTGCCAGTCTCCAAAATGCAGAGCCCCGTCCAAGACACATCCAACACATCCACACATTCTGTTTAATTTTCTCCTAATGAAAAGTGTGACAAGCAAATAATTAACCTGAAAAGCGGACATAAATCAGAGTGGATAGTCACAGAACAGATCGCTTTTTAAGACTGCGTTTTAAAAGATATGCTTCAGAGAACGCCCACTTGAGTCTTTTAAATTACCTGGCTCCCACTGTATGCGGCTCCTGTGTCAGGCCGCTCATTCCATGTCATCAAATGGGAGGGTTGATGTGCCTCAGCATAACAAATTACTGGTGTTGGATTTATTTCAGTGAACTCCCTTCTTGTGCCTTCCAGAGAGTGAGCCCTGGGTTTCTCAACATGATGGAAACAACCAGATCCTAGGGACATTAGAGCCACAGCAAAGGGGAACAGTGACCAGCCGCAGTGACATTGTCTTTTGAACAACAAGTCAATGCAGACAGAAGTAAATGACAGTTAATTACAAATTACATTCTGGTTGGGGCTGAGCGGCTTCTTGCCTTGAATAACGATCAGGCCCTGGGGCACGCACCTGCCTGCAGAGGACCTTACTTGGCCAGGCTGGGTGCCGCACAAGTTTCAAAACAAGCTGCTAAACACGAAAGCTTATTGGATTACAGAGATTTAGGAAAAAAGCATTCAGGTCTCCTGTGGCCACTGCAGGAGGAGGGCGGAGGGGGAGGGATCTCCGGAGGACTGGTCGCTGCCCCCACAGGGCTCAGAATGCAGCTCATGCTGGGGTGGAAGATTGGACGGGTCTTCAAAGGCTGGCGAATGTGTTCCAGGTGCCTTAGGAAAGCCGAGGTGCTGGTGACTCCAGGGGCTTCCCAAGCGGGAGAGGCACCTCCTTCACTGGTGCTGCGTGGGATGTTCAGCTCACTGGATACGAAAATGCTGGAGTGTGTATTTTTATTTTTAATCAGAAAAAGATTTTCATCATCGCCTGCAGACACTTTGATTTACTAATAATGTTTTACAGTTTTTTTTTAGTTTAAACAGTGAATTTATTATGTTTTTAAGTCAAATTTCAAGTTAATACATTTGCAAAAATAAGACAATGTCCAAAATAATTAATGTCATAGCTGGTGTATTGAAAAGACCTTGGTTTTTTGTAATTCACTAAAGTAATTTCTATTCATTTAGTTGAGCTAAATGCTTATTGTTAAAGACAAAAGACCCAACAGTTTGACATTGAGCTCATTATGTACATTGGAAACAGTGGGCAACCCAAGGCCACACGGAGGGCCACAAAGCCCAGGACTGGGGGGCGGGGAGGGCTTCCAGGGATTGAAATGCAGACCACACCATCTCTGAGATTCTTCATTTAGACTGATTAAAACTTCAAAACAAAGCTCTTTGGAAACAGCAGTAGAACATTGGGGGTGGGGGCAATCAGTAAACTCTGGGAACTTTAATGGGTCTCTCTCCCTCCTTGCTAAGAGGGTTCTAACAGCCCAGATTACACTTCCAAGCTGATTTGTAAAATCCTTTAAATTTTTAAAGAAAGTATTTGGAAACATGCAGAAAATGTGCTTTTCGGAAGGGTGTGCTGTTGGAAAGCTGACCACACCTCCCTTCCCTAAGCAGCTTCAAGGAGGTCAGATAACAGAGCCTTCTTGTGTACTGTCAGCAACCTGTGTCTGTGCTTTCAGCTGGGGCACAGCGCAGGACCAGCCACGGAAAGAAGTTCCCCTTTTCTGTAAGGAACAGGGTTCCTCATTACAGCCCACACTCTGACTGACGGGGACAATAAGAAATATTTGGCCCACAAGACATACTGCTCTGCTTCCTCAGTGACTTGAGCTTCTCAGGGGACACAAATCATTTGCATATGAGCTTTCCAGAGACCAAAAAAAAAAAAAAAAAAAAGATTAGGTCTCACAGAGATAACACTAAAATCAAAACATTTCTTTTCATCCAAAAAGAATATCTGGGGGTGCCAGGGGTGTGGCTCAGTGGTAGAGTGCTTGCTTGGCAAGTATGAGGTCCTGAGTTCAATTCCCAGCACCATTATAAAACAAAACAAAACTATTTTTTATGCTTTAATCATGAAACTGAACCAAGAACGCTTTGGGGGAGAGGCTGTTCAGCATGTGTAGGTCACCAGGGGTTCCTCTAAAGGCCACATGCCGCACAATTTGAATGCCACATTTAAACTTAGTTGGAAAATAGCTTCCTTCTCTGTGCATGGGCGGGAAGCTGGGGTCCGGCTTATCAGTGCTAGGGTGATGCTGACCACAGTGACAGTGACACTTGAGATCCATCATGTCAGCTGTGGGAAGGGATCCTGCAGGGCCCAGGCAGGAAGCAGGAACACTTAACCCTCCCAGCCCCAGTCCCAGGCTGCATTTCACACTGCTCTGTCAAGTGTGGGCAGCCTACAGAATGACTGCCGTCGGACGAGCACGCACCGGGCTGCCGGAAACACTATTAAACTGTATCATGAGGGGAGTGTTAGACAAGGCCTTGAGCATGTGCCTTGTTGATCCCTTATGAGGCCTTCAGTAGGCCCGTGGCTGCTGGCGAGGCTCCGGCCTACACGGGAGGGCAGGGACTCACCCACCTGGCCAGTGGACTCCTCTTGGAAAAACTACCCAGAGGGACTCTGAACCAGATCTGATTGACAAGGCGGCGCCTCTCAGAATGTCTCAGCCAGGACCCTGCAGGTCGGCCCCCATGCTGTGTGGGCGGTTTGATATTAGGAGGGCAAATGCAGCCGTGCTGCGGGTTCTGTGTACATCCTCAACAGACAGGGGCAGGTGCCAGCGCAGCAAACACAGACGGAGGCCATGTACCATTTTATCACACCATCTACTGAACACTGCATTGTGTGCACGGCAGTGGTGAAAACAAGTGTAAATGACATCTCAGGGTGCTCTTTTGAACTCCTAAGATTCCAAGTCTGATTGTGGTCCCACTGACACACATAAAAGTTGTGTTTCTCTGTTCACCGAGTATTTTTTAGGAGCTGAAATTCAGTTTTACTTTTCACTTCATCTCAGTTGTGTTTATTTCTACCTTCTCTTTTGTGAAGTCACAACAAGCTTTTCTCGGGTTAAAAGTCGGTTGAATAGTAATATGCTTCTTTCATGTATATGCAAGACAAAGATCTTTTCACACCTTGATGAAATGAGCATAAATTTAAATGCTAATGAATTGCCTGTGACTGGTTGGGAATACCAGAACTGCATTCACACAAGTGGAGGTCCCCGGGAAGCACAGGGCTCTGGAGGAGGCTCGGGGACACGGATGGATGCTAGTTTCCGCACCCCGAGATGGCTCAACCAGCCATACCTGACGGTGGTGAGGAGGCAGAAAGTCTTCCTCAAGAAAACTTCGAAAATGAGAAATTGAGGCCAGTCAAAGGCAAACCCAACCCTGGGGCATGAAATCCTCCCTCGGGCAGCTCTTTGGGAGTGACAGCCACTGTGGCCACTACCTGAGGACCTGCTCCATGCCAGGCTGAGCTAAGGCATTCTTGGCACAGCGTGTCCTGGCAGCATGACAGTTAAGTTGTAAAGTGCTAGGGACTATCAAGGCCACCGTGGCTGGCCCAGGTGCCTCCGTAGACAGAGGAGGATGTAAGGCTGGAGAAGCCTCAGGACCTGCTGGCCTCAGTGTCTCCACGTCTGTCCAGAGAGAGCAGGAAGATCACCACCGCAGCCTCTGAGCCAGGGATTTCCCAGGTGCCTGCACCTGCCCAGGCTTCCTGGTGGCACTAGTGAAAGAAAGTGGCGAGGACTGATCACACCCGCCCCTGGGGTAAGAAGCAGGTTCAGTCAGGAGCCTGACGGGGCTGCTCCAGGGCAGCAGTGAGGAGGCAGAGCAGCGGGTCCCCTTGAACGTCCCCTGTCCAGGCTAGAATCCTGGTTAGCCTTGACTGACCCAGGCGGCAGCCCCTGATCTGTGGAAGGCAAGTTTCTTGGGAACAGAGACAGGCAGTTTTCCTGTCTCAGACGGTGAACAGGGGAACCGTCATGTCCCTTTGTCTTCTCAAGGAGAGAACAGGGAAACCAGTGTGTCCCCATCTCAGGGGCCGGTAAGTTGTCTCCCATCTCTCAGTGAGAGAACGGGGAGAGACCGGCCCGTCTCCAGGCTGGTAGGTTTTGTCTCGGGCTACTTTGTATTTCTTGGGAATAAGAACAGGATTCATAAAGTGGGGGTGGGGTAAAGGAAGAAGGCTGCAGTGTGCCACCCATTACTGTCTCTTCTCATGTTCAAGTTTAATATTCTTTTCAGCCACATGCACCTGCCATGAATTTTATAAATTTCAGAATATTTGGAAATAAAATTCCAGCAAAAATGTTTTAAATTTCACAATTGTAGGAAAGAAAAAAATTAAATTAGATTTTATACAAAATGATCTTAGGAAAAAAAGTGAGCCATTGACCTGAAAGAATATTGTAAATATTTTCCAATGTTTTATTAAATTCTTAGCCATTACTCTTGGTGTAGTGGGAATCAAGAGCTTATAGTACTTGATAATGTGTTGATGTCAATTTGCTGTCTCCCTATTTTTTTCTAAACTGGAACTAGTCAAAATGCAGGAGAAACTTAGTGTTGGAGGAATAAGTTCCACTGGACAGGTGAGTTCTGAAAATCCTTCATTAACTTGTAAGGGAGCAAGCAGGTGCACGTGAGGCAGGGGCTGGTTCTGCAGGAGGCCCCCCGAGGCCTGTGAGTGTGAGGCTTGGCCTCCTAGGGGCACTGCTGGAAGGTGGTGGGACCCAGGAGGTGGCTCCCAGGGGAGGTTGTTAGATTTGGGGGGTGCTCTTCACAGGGATTATGGAACCCCAGACTCTTTCTCTTTCTCTTTGCTTTCCGCCCCTTAAGGTAAGTGAATTGCTGGGCCCTGTGCTCAGCTGCCCTGTGGTCCAGAGCAGTGAGGCCCGGAGCAAGTGGGTCATTGATCTTGGGCTGGAGGCTCCAGCACCTGAGCTGAGCCGACCTCTTCTCTTCTAAGCTCCTGCCGCGGGCGCCTCACTGCACTGGCCAGCTGGGCAGCACAGTAGGCGAGGAGGGAAGAAGGGCAGGGGCAAGTGAACCCTGCCTCAGCTGGGCAGAGGCAGATGGTCCCCAACAAGACCTGTGACGCTGGTGTCCCTGTGACTGTAGAGGGGGGTGGTTGGGAACAGAGCTGGAGCTTTCCCTTGACTGTGGCCTGGGAACTCTGCAAGGCCCCCGACTTGGTTGAAGGGCCCTCCCCAGCCACACTGTGCCTGTGCCTCTGGGGCAGAGACGGGCTGCCCACAGGAGGGCACATCCATGAGGTCCAGAGGCTTCTGCTTGTCCTTTATGAAGGTGGATGGTTGAAGGAGGTCTTCACCGCTAGACATCCTCAAAGGTCACCCGTAACCTGACACTCTTAAGAATCTCCATTTTAAAAAGGAAAAAAAAAAAAAAAACATGTCTCTGTGCCGGGCACACAGAGCCACTCTTGGAGAGGGCTGGGACCTATTTTTATAAGGAGAGTAGCTTTGATCTAGAGGAGTCGAGATTATTCTACTTGGGGGCAGAAAATGGCTAAGTGTCATCCGTGGCTCTGCTGGACACTGCAGCGTTGAAGTGACCCTGGCCTCCACAGAGCACTTTCACCGTCTGCATCGCACTTGCATTTCCCTACAGAACATCTCCCCTCCTCCATCACCACATCATACACCACGCCACGACAACGTCGAAAACACAAAACCAAACTTGTTGTAAAGATGTGGAAGTGGGCAAAGCCCTGCCCACCACAGGGTCGCTGCAGAGGTCAGCGGGTCTGAAGGAGCGCTGGTGCACCAGGCAGGCCAGGCTTTGCCGCAGGTGCCTTCCCTGAGAACACGCGCCCACGCCAGACGTCACTGGCAAGTTCGGATTTTGATGTCCCCAGGCCCACAGGCTGAAGGTCAGTCTCCAGCCTACAGTGCTCTGGGGAGATGGCCAACCTTAGGCACGTGGGCCTGGTGGAGGAAGGGGACGGTGGCACTCAGTGCCTCCAGTGTCTCTTTGCTTCCCGGCTACTGTGAGGTGAAAGGCCACCTCTGCCTGGGGCTCCTCTGTGCCACTGTGCTCACCACAGGCCCAGAGGAGATGGGACAAGTCTCTGAAACTGAACCAACACAAGCCTTTCCACTTGAGCAGAGGCCAGTGGAGTAATGGAAGGCTGACCAACGCGGTCATCTTTTTTGACCGTCTTTAGGAGCAACATTCACTAGCATAGCACCAGACACTGGCTCAGGAAAGGCCCCATGCATGCTCCCGGTGGGCCTCCCACATAACAAGGTGACAAGGTTCTCTGTGTCCTCTCCCTACACGGTCCTCGCAGTGCCACCTGCCGCCCATCCCCCCTCTGATAGCCCTGTGCACACGTACGCCCTGCAGACACTGGACGCCAGACTCCTGAGAGCGGTAAGTGAGGTGCCAGGTGCCAGTCATCTCTCAGGACAAAACATCAGTGGGAAAGGAGCAGTCCCGGAAGTGGGGACCCGCAGAAGAGGAGGCCAGTGGGCCTGGGGAGCCCCGTCTCTGCCTGGAAACCAGGTGGAAGTTGTGGAGGTCTGCCCATGTTCACCTAACCCGGGAAGCCCCTCTCCCCGCACTGAGTAAATGTCCTTGAAGAGCTGGCCTCAGCTGGTGACCTTGTGATTGTGACTGGGCGGGATCTCGTGGTCTGGAAAAGGGCTGAGCATGAGCCCAGCTTTGTCTCCAGGCTGGGCTTCCAGAGGGTTAATGAGGAAAGTACTGGAGCCTGGGGGCAGAGTGTGCCCCGGCATGTGATAGGCAGCCGTGGGACTTGGCAGCCAAGAAGAGCTGCACAGACCCTTGCTTGTGGCCATCCCCACAGGTGTGGACATGAGAGCTTGGGCTGGTGCCAAACCAGGTCCTGTCCATCAGAGGACAACGTAGGTGTGTCAGAAATCTCAGGGGGCCCGTGTCAGGTCACCTGAATTTCACCTTGCAGGTACGTGCTGGTGGCACCTGTCTGTGATGACAGTGCTTCTGAGCCGGGGAGGAATCGTGGGGTGCCAGGG